CAGCAAATTCACATATTCTGAAAGTGGGGACAGCCCATGTGTCCGCCAGAAGACTAACAGATGAAGGGCAGTGGGACATACCTGCTGTGGAATATTGCTCAGAAGAGGAAGGGGATTCAGACACTTGCCCCAGCATGAACCTCAGGGCCATCATGCTAAGTGAACTAAGCCAGCCCCAGAGAGGCAAATACTGTCGGAGTCTGCTTATGTGAGGCGCCCGGAGTAGTCGAATCTATAGGGACCGGGGCTGTAGGGGGAAGAAATGGGGAGTGGAGTGTTTCATGGGCACAGAGTTTCCGTTTGGGAAAAGAAACAAGTTCTGGAGTTGGGAATATTGGCTGTTCAACAATATGAATGTACTCTACGCCACCGAATTGCATACTTTACAAATGGTTAAGATGGTAAATAAAACTAAAATTTTAAAAGAGGAAGTCTAAAAATGTGGCGTGGATTTTAGCAATAAAACATAATGGTATTTGTTCTTATTTGGAATGTGCCATCGTTTGTTTTCCTAGTTATTTGTAGGCACCCTAAAACATTGCTGGTTCTATGGGCCTACAGGGCGACTCAGGCCTCACTTGCAATACGAAGCCACCGTGAATGGGATGAGAAGATATTTTGACAGAGGGTGAGGAAAACAGCGTTTCAAAGAAGGAGACTGGCTTACAACCAGATTCTATTTTGGGAAAAGCACTACACGTTCGAGAAAATCAGAACGGTTCTCTGGAGCACTGTTTCTGGAGCCCAGAGAGCAGGGACAGAATGGCGTGAGCTGCAGTGCAGGCGGAGGCCCCAGGCCGAGGAGACTGGGACCAGTCCCGGCCCCCACGGGGCCCTGGCACACGTAGAGCCATTGCAGGCTCCCACCGGGAGAGCGGCGATGTTCCCGTGTGTGTGTGTGGGTGTGTGTGTGTGTGCATGGCATGTGTGTGTGTGCATGCTGTGTGTGTGTCATGTCATGTGTGTGCATGTGGTGCATGCATGTGTGGTGTGCTGTGCGCGCGTGGCGTGCGTGCGGTGGTTCGGTCGGTGCGTGCTGTGTGTGCGTTGTGTGCTGGCGCGGCGTGTGTGTGTGTGCATGCATGTGTGTGTGTGTGTGTGTGTGTGTGTGCGCGTGCGTGCGTGTGTGCGTGGGTGTGTGTGTGTGTGTGTGTGTGTTTTACAGAAAGGCCTGCCTGGCAGCATTTCGTGGGAAGAACAGAGGGGCGCAATAGCATACACTGTTTGGGGGCAGCTGCTGCGCTGTCTATGGTAGAATCCGAGGAGCAGAGATGGAGAGAAGTGCTTGGATGTCTGAGGTAATTAAGGAGGAAGGATTGACAGAACTTGGAGATGCACCGGCTCGCTCCTGGCATTGTTTCTCCAGCCAGTCATTCCCCCCAGTGCCACGGTCACCTCCCCAGCCTCTACCGTCTTCCGCTAGAGTAGCGCTGCCCAGGTCCCAGCTCACTGCCCGTTGGCTGCGTCCTTTCGCCACGGCGGGATTCAGCTGTCCGCAGCGCCGCCCCGCGCCCTGCGTAACTCCCCTCGATGCTAAGTCTGCCCGTTGCACGCAGTTCGCAGTCCAACGTGCCTGGCTGCGCACCCAAGACCCTTTGTGATCTGCTGCCTCCAATTTTACCTACTGCAGCCCCTTGACACAGACGAAGCCAGTCTAAAAGGATTTCTCCAGCAGCCACCACGGGCCAGGAGCATCCACTTGCTGTAAGGCCTTCCTGCTGCTCCTCGTCCTGTCCCTCTGCCTTCCCTGACACCGCCCGCACCCTTCTTGCCCAGGGGTCCTCAAACTCTTTAAAACAGGGCAATTCACTGTCCCTCAGACCGTTGGAGGCCGGACTATAGTTAAAAAAACTATGAAGAATTTCTATGCACACTGCACATATCTTATTTTGAAGTAATTTGAGGACGCCTGTTCTTGCCGCTTATGCAAACACAATTCCGCCTCTGTCCTGGAGCAGAACTCACTGCTTAGATTTTCTTAAACCTTTAGCTTCTAACTAACGGTTTCTACACCATCCACAGGCATTGGGATATTCTGCCATTAATTGCTGGCAAGTTTTTTGTGTGTCTGTGGAAGCGGAAATCTTATTTTCTGCTGAGAAGGTGCTCGACAGGCAGAGTTGGTCGATGACATCACCCGTACGCACCTGCTCCGTTCAGAGTGGCCCGAGGGCACGTGATGCTGCCAGGCAGTGGCGGGAGACTCTCAGGAAACAAGCAGGGAAGGTAGGACACGTCTGGTGTTCAGTAAACAGTTGTTGAACAAGGGAATTAATAAGCGATTGCCAACAACGTCTAGCCTACGATACTGAATTATAAGTAACTTGGGGGCAGGCTAGTGTTTCTCTCTTAATGATTAATAGACACAATTTAGTTGAGTTCAACTATTTCTCTTTTCTTTCTTTTTTTGGAGGCAGAGTCTCGCTCTGTTGCCTGGGCTAGAGTGCCATGGCATCAGCCTAGCTCACAGCAACCTCAAACTCCTGGGCTCAACGATCCTCCTGCCTCAGCTCCACCAGGTAGCGGACTACAGGCATGCGCCACCGTATCCCAGCTAATTTTTTAATATATATATATGTTTTTAGTTGTCCAGATAATTTCTTCCTATTTTTAGTAGAGACAGGGTCTCGTTTTTTGCTCAGGCCGGTCTCGAACTCCTGTCCTCAAGCGATCCTCCCACCTGGGCCTCCCAGAGTGCTAGGATTACAAGCGTGAGCCACCGCGCCCGGCCACATTCAATTATTTCTTGAGTGTTCAGGACACACAAGGGTGAACAGGTCTGTGTGAGAACGTGAATGGCGGGGTTGGGAGAAAGAGGGAGAAGGGAGGGGCAGACGCAATCCCTGTAACAGGGCAGCAAGTACAAGGGAAGGAAAATGCCACAGATAACTCGGAGGAGGGAGTGGCTGATGTTGCCTAGAGAAATTATTGACTGCCTAGAACTCATTCCTTCCCCCGCTTGATTGATGGATGCCACTCGGATTCAGCCACAGCCTCTCCTCTCTGCCTTTCCCACCCGGCCACTGCTTGCACCCTGCCTCGAGGTGTGTGCTCCAGCCACACGGGCACAGGTGGCTGTTTCCCGACAGGTGCCACCTTTCACGCTCCATGTTTCAGCCCAGTGCTTCTCAAGCTCTAAAGAGCACACGCGTGGCGTGGGCATCTTGTCACACCGGGTTCAGACTGGGGGAGTCAAGTCCGCCCCGAGACCTGGGGCTCTGCATTTCCGACGAGCTCCCAGGTGGGGCCAAAGCTGCTGGTCTACAAACCACACAGAGCGGCAGGATGACTGCTCACCCCTGGGTGCGTTCCCTGCCCCACCCCCTTCAAAGCCTCCACGTTTTTTATGAGCTAAATCAAATGTCTCCCCTAGGAAGATCGTCTTCTCAACTTCGGGACTGGACACCAGTGCTGTTGTGTTTGTTTGTTTTTTCAGTCTGTAGCAGATATTTCTCTCCAAGTCTTTTCTCCCAACGAATTGAAGGCTTTTTGAAGGGACGACTTGGTCTAATGCACCCAGGCCCCTGGGCCGTGTCTGTTACAGTCATGGGCCTTCATCAGTATTTGCTCAGTTGAATTTGAACTTAAAATACTATTGCATATGGAGTAAATGTGTGTGCATTGGTATGCTTGTGTGTGTGTGTGCACGTGTGTATATGTCAATGTAGGTAGACAAGACCAGAATACATCCACAAACAAGATCATTTTAGCATCATGAATTATAATAAAACATAGATTATAATTATCAGAATGGGAGAAATCACCTACAACGTAAATTTGATGAAGACAAAACACTTTTTTGTAGGTCGCTGGGTCCCCTCAGAGCCTAGACCTGTGTCTTGCACATAATAAATATTCAATAAACACTTGTTAAATGCTAGATGAATGAAAGGAGCAGGTATTGAACTTCAATCACAACTTTAACCCTTGCAAAATAAAGCGGTCAAAACAACTTTCGGATCTTTAGTTTCTTGCAATGAAATAAAGACAAACAATATTTTGGATTTTTCTACTGAAGAAAAAAAAGGACCAAAGAAACCTGAAAATATTCCCCTAGAGTGATTTTTTTTTTCACTAACATCTTCATGCATAGCAGCAAAACAAAATCTAAGACATTTTTCCATACGAATTTTTTCCTAAAATACTAAATTATTTTAGATCAACAAAGAAATTTTTTTACTATTAAATATCAAAAGAGACTCACTTAATTGCAAACATAAATGCTTTTCTCCTTGCCTCTGCTTCAATTTTGCTGAGGAGGAAGATTTTGCAGCTTTGCTTGGTACTAAAATAGCTGTGTTTTGCTGACTGCTGTCATCCTCGCCGGGCAGGGCAATGATAATGAACTTAGAACACAGGAAGTTTACCATTTCACAGTATTAAAATAGAATTTCTTATTACAAAGATACCTCTCTCACAAAGGAAAAGCAGCTGGAATTTTCAGTTTCTTCAATCTGTTGACACCACTATGCTATATTAATACATTAAGGCAATATAATTAATTCTTCGGAAATATTGCTCCATTGTATGTTTTTATTTGAATATTTAAAAAATTAATTCAGGCCGGGCGCGGTGGCTCACGCCTGTAATCCTAGCTCTCTGGGAGGCCAAGGCGGGCGGATTGCTCAAGGTCAGGAGTTCAAAACCAGCCTGAGCAAGAGCAAGACCCCGTCTCTACTATAAATAGAAAGAAATTAATTGGCCAACTGATATATAATATACAAAAAAATTAGCCGGGCATGGTGGCACATGCCTGTAGTCCCAGCTACTCGGGAGGCTGAGGCAGGAGGATCGCTTGAGCCCAGGAGTTTGAGGTTGCTGTGAGCTAGACTGACGCCACGGCACTCACTCTAGCCTGGACAACAAAGCAAGACTCTGTCTCAAAAAAAAAAAAAAAAATTAATTCAGAAACTTTTATTGTCTACTAAACATTTCCATCAGCATGGCTTGGCAGAAGCCAATGTTAAACAACAGCAAACTTTTTAGAATTTTGTGTTTTCTTGTAAAGAATTAAGTGGTAACTTAATTAGTTTTAGGCGGCAACATAATAGAGAGATTAAGAGTCAAGAATAACATTTGCTGAGTGCCTACCGTCAATGGATTCAGTATAAACGCAGCCTCATCCAGTCCTCGTGATAATCCTCGCAGGGACCTATTGTTTCATTTACCAATGAGGAAACTGTCAGAGTGGTTAGGTCATCTGCCCAAGATCTTACCTAGTAAGGACCAGAGATGAAAATCTGACATGTCTCTTGACCCCAAACTCCACATACTTTCCTCCGTACCAAGATGTACTTAGAAAGTGACATCGGTTTTATTAAAATGTTAAGTCTTTGTCCAAAAAGTATAACACGCAAGGCTGCCTGTATCATAGATAGTAGAATTTTGCTTTGTTCCTTTCTTCGACAAACGCTCACTGGGTTATACCATGTGCTTGGCGATGTGATGAGTACTAAAAATAGAGATAAAATATAGTGGAGTCAGGAGACAGAGACAATTCAAAGATGAATGAAACTTCAAATTGCCCACATTCAATCTATGCTATTAATAAAAGGTGTTATCCAATAAAGAGAATGGCACATTTTATTCCAATTATTCCAACTGAATATTACACTTTAGAAAGGGGAAAAAAAAATTCGAGGTTATTCCCCAACATTTTGATTACACCTGCTATGTCAACGTTCCTTTGGGTTCAGTGGAAGCCTATATTTTCCTGAGAAAGTGGCACTCAAAACAGAGCCAGGCCCTGAGTGAGCTCCAGCTCTGATGTCCACCCTGCCTGGCCCCTCGTCCTCTGTGACAACGGGCAAGCCATTAACCTCTCTTGGCTTCATTTCCCTTGCTGGAACAATGGAGAGGAGACTTGGGCCTATTTCCGAGGCTCGGATCCCAGTAAATGAACTAAGGAGCGACTCGTGCAATAATTTCCACTCCTGCTCCCGTCCCTCCCATCCTGATTTGAATCTGGAGCCATGGGAACAGACACAAAGCAACATCTCAGGTTCCAAATACTTCAATTTTCACCTTTCACTGTGATTAAAATTACTTCTGGATTTCCGTCTTATCATTTTACCATGGCTCTAGGCAGGAAAACAAAACAAAACAGGCAGTTGATCGCCACCCAGGATATTTCTCAGGGAGCCTGGCTTTGCCACACGGATTCCCGTCCGTCTCAAACCGACACCAATTCCAAACCCCAGGGCTTCCCCGAGACGCGGCCTCGGCTCGAGGGTCTTCTCTGCAGCACAGGGCTGACATGCCAGAGGCCGAAGCAACCTGCTCGAGGCTGAGCTGGTTCCCAGCAAGCTGGCACTGCACTCAAGGAGTCCCCAGGGCTACCAGGAAACGAATCCAGACCAGAGCTCGCCAGAACCAGCGCGCTGGCCTCCCCCCTGCGCAGGGTGACAAAGCCCTTGCATCACCATGCCTCCCTCAGCAGCCCGCTCGGCGATTCAGCGGGCTCCCAAGATTGTGAAATAAAGGGACATCTGGTGCGTGGTGCGCCAATTTGGAGTCTGCACCTGGGGACCGGGCAGGGCACGGGTTGCGTGTGTGGGAGCAAACAGGGGTCGCTCGTGTGCATAGATCTGTCGTTGCAGAAACGGCAGTGGATCTGAGTTCCGGGGTTCCGTGAGGGAGACGGCAGGGAAGGTCCGATGCACCCCGGTCCTCCCGCAGGGGAAGGCGGTAGGAGTGAGGCGTGGAGGGCGAGTGGCCGGTGGAGGACGGGAGGGACAGGCAGAGGGACCTGGGGCGTGTGCAGGGCTGAGCCCGGTGGGGGGGAGGGGGACTTGGCACTCGGAGGAGCGAAGGCAAACCCGGGCTGGGTAGAGCCCCCGCGGTTTGGAGTTTCCCCCCTGAGCGAGGCAGGGTTGGTGGCTCGTTTCAACGAGGGACGGCCATGGGTGTCCGCCCCTGTGACAGTCAAGGGTGGCTGTGCGGAAAATAGACTTGATCAGGGCAACAGAGGAAACAAAGACAGCAAGAAAAACGTGGTGGGAACAAGCATTAACTGTACAATGAGAATGGATAAAGTTTATGGAAGGAGTGGCTAGAAGTGAAAGAAAGAAAAGGAAAAAAAGAGGCGGAATGGTGAAAAACAGAAAAGAACCTGTTCTAGAGAGACAGAGGCTGTGCGCAGAGTCCTTGCGATGCAGCTGACAAGGCTGGGGAGGCGTGAAACCGAGGGCAGGCACGGAGCGACACGCAGAGACCTGTCATGGCTGTGGGGGAGGGTGGTGGGGAGGCGGTTTGCAGATTGGCTGTTTGTGAGCCTTGGACATCCTTGTAAGCAGATCTAGGAGAGCCTCTCACTGTCCCCCTCGCCCCACTGCCCCCATCGCTGCAGATGAGTCTCACCCGTGGGGCAAGTTGGGCCCAGGCTCAAAACACCAGTCCTGCCTGCTGCCGGGTCTCCCCTGGACCCCACCCTGGTCAGCCCCATGTACCGTATGGCCGGGCGGGAACACCCGAGGTTCTCCAAGGCCCGGCAGTGCACCCTCTGGGGGACGCAGCCGTGGGTGCATGGCCGGGACTCCCCACTGCTCCCCACTGATGAGTGCGTACCCCTCCTTTGGTGGCTTGCGCAGAGAGCCGCTCTAAGGAACACTGTGCCCTTTGCATGTGATTAGCAAGACAGAGATCACTCTATTCTTTAAAGGTCTCCCCATGACCAAATTTGGCCTCTGGGAGCTGGACTGAGACATGGTCCGGTCTGAGTCACGTCTATTTGTCTCTTTCTCCGCCGCTGGTTGTTATGGAAACTACACAGCACAGCCCCAGGGCTCGGAATTCCTGAAGTCAGCCTCAAACTTATGCTTCATTTATACAGCAAACAAGTTTGCTTACTTTGTTAATCTTTGGCTACTTCCTGCCCTGTTCTCCTTGGGAGCTGAAGAACCGAACACCGCCTGGAGTCTGCCCTGGCCTTCCCACATGAATCAAGATAACACAGACACGCTCTGCACCCTTCCCTGAAGACGTCTAGATAGTGAAAAGAATCCCCATCACTTCCTGGGCTATCTGATCGCAGGATCAAAGCTGCTCCTTTGCTAGCTCAGGAACTATCCACATGTGAAAGAAATTTAAGAGTCCTTCACAGTGTCCTTTTGGGTTCATCCCAATCTCTTGGCAAAATCTCCAGTGAAATTTTAATAGCCACTGGGCTTACTCTGGGAAATATGCGCTTTTAGGCAGACGTTTGAGGGACTTGCTACTTGAATGTCTTTGATGTCTGCAAGCCTTTGAAACGCAGACACAGGTGTTTCATGTCCACGGTGCCCCTCGCTTAAAGACCGGGCGTGAGCTCTGTGGTTTCTTCAGCGAGGAATTTAAATCACACAGACCTGGGGTCAGAGCCTGGCTCTACCATGTGGTAGTGGCCTGACCGACTAGGTGACTTGCCTTTGTGAACCTCTGCTACCCATCTGCAAAGCAGGCCGTTGACGACGGTCCCACAGGTTGCTATAAAGGCCAAGCAAGTTTGCGTGCAAATTACTCAGAACAGGTCCTTATATATAGTCAATGCTTAACAAATGTTAATCGCGTTCCTTTCTCGTTAGACTAGCTGCTGAGTGGTCTTTTTGCTGCTCGATAGCCTTCCCGTGGAACATTCAGCAGGAATAGTTAATTGTTAGCTAGAGGAGGTGGACATTTTTTTTAGTGTATTATGGGGGTACAGGTGTTAAGGTTACATATATTGCCCAACCCCCCCTCCCCCCTCGAGTAAGAGATTCAAGCGTGTCCATCCCCCAAACGTTGCACATCTTACTGGTTGTGGTTGTATCTACTCATCCCTTCCTGCCCCCTCCCACCCTCCCGACACCCAATAAATGTTACTCCCATATGTCCACTTAGGTATTGATCCACTAATACCAATTTGCTGGTGAGTACATGTGGTGCTGGTTTTTCCATTCTTGAGATACTTCACTCAGTAGAATGGGTTCCAGCTGTATCCAGGAAAATACAAGAGGTGCTAGATCACCATTGTTTCTTAAAGCTGAATAGTACTCCATGGTATACATATACCACAGTTTATTAATTCACTCATGTATCAGTGGGCACTTGGGTTGTTTCCACAGCTTTGCAATTGTGAACTATGCTGCTATAAACATTCGAGTGCAGGTGTCTTTTTCATAAAGTGACTTTTGATCTTTTGGGTAGATGCCCAGGAGTGGGATTGCTGGATCAAATGGTAGATCCACTTGTATCGCTTTGAGGTATCTCCATATTGCTTTCCACAGAGGCTGAACTAGTTTGCAGTCCCACCAGCAGTGTAGGAGTGCTCCTCTCTCTCCGCATCCACGCCAGCATTTGTTGTTAAGGTGGACATTTTTTAAAGTCACAATTACGGAGCCCAGAAATACCACCCGGCCGTTCCTCTCACTTTAGCGGTGTGATTTAACATGTGCAAGTGATTTAACGTGTTGGTTGTGAACACAAACTGAAAAGGTTGGAGGGGATAACCCTGGAGCCAGGCACTTTAACTGATGTAAAGGAAGCAACGAGTATGACTACTGCCACCCCCTCCCCCGTGGATTCATAATCTATCTTTTAAAAATTGCATAAAAAATAGAGAAAGAGTATAAGGTAGAGGAGAGGTCGAGACGGAGCAGAGACACGGACACATTTGGTGGGTTGGAATTCAAGTGTCCCCCGTCTGCGCTAGCCCCTGCCTGCTAGCAAGCGCACCGATACCAGCAAGCTCGCCTTGACCGGACCGTGCCCGCTCTCCTTACGCGAGCTCAGCCCTTGCAAAACCGCATCCTGACGTTTCTGTGAGTCCGCAGGGGCTGTTTCCCGTCACCTCCCTGTGGTCCCGTCGTGTCCATCAGTGCGTACCTTCTCGTTAATGTTGGCCACCTGTGAGGTCCCTCAGAGGGGCCGCTAGTCACTGCCGGTGGCGTCCGCGCTCTGTGTGGGGGTGCTCGTGTTCACACCCACGGCAGGCAGGCATCCTTCCTGAAACCGTTGCTGAGTTCTGCTCGGTCTCCCCTGCTTCTTCCGGCCCCGAGTAGCCAAGAAAACGAATCCCTGAAGGCCTCGCCGGTGATTTAACAGGGCGTGCCCGGGTGGGTGATCAACTTAAATGTGAGCTAGGACCCTCGACTAAGGAAAGATAGAAGTTATGTAAGTGGAGAGGAAATTCTGTCTGAGGAACGGTAAGATAGTCACCATGATGGGCTGGAGAAAACTCGTGATTAAAGCCCTGGAAGATAATAAAAAGTAGGGCCAGATTAGGAAGGGCATCTAAGTGCCAGGCTGAGGAGTTTATAATAAACTCCCATGCATAGAGACATTACAGATGTGAAGACAGAGTTGAAAATCAAGTCAATTTCTGTATTCTTTTTCTTAAATATAATGACTTAGAATTAAATTCAAACTCTACTGAATGTTATTGCGTATCTTTGTGCAAACAATGCACACTTTCTAAGCATCAGTTCATTCTTCTGTGAAACTGGGATAATCCTACCTTCGTGAAGCGATGCTGTCAGGAGTAAATCAGATGACACCCATAAACTCGGCTGGCACAGGGCCCAGCGCACAGTAGGTTTTCAATGCACGTGCCCTTTTTCTTTTTCCTTAATAGAAGGTTAAGGGGAAATTATTGCCAAAAACTAACATTTACTATACTAAATTACCTGTATATTTCAATTATTCATCCATCAATGAATGATGATAATTAATAACCATTTCGCTGTCAGAATGTAGGAGTTAAAAGAGAAAAATGGTGAAATTAGTTTGCTGATGCTAAAGGGCTTTTTTTTCTTTCATACGCTCATAAATTATACCTAAATTCAGATGCAACAAAATGGAAACATTAACAAAGATATCCTCTCTTTTAATGGAAGTGGTGTTATTAGAAAATGAATGTATCACATTCATTTCCTCTGAGCTATCACTACATTATTTAGCTATTCAATGTGTTCTCTGACTTTTTCCCTCTAATTATACACAAGAATTTCAGAATTTTTCATAGTGGTATTTTTGAGATAATTAACATACATACAATTCTCTGCTTTAAAAATGTAAAATATTCACATTTTAGCATATCCACAGAGCTGTACAATGACCACCACAGTCGGTTTGAGGACATTTTTATCATCTACCCCAAAACAGTCACTCCCACTTTCCCAACCCTAGGCAGCCACTAATCTGCTTTCTGTCTCTATAGATTTCCATGTCCTGGACTTCTGTATGTAACTGAATCATATAACACGTGGTCTTTTGTTTCTGGCTTCCTTGGCCTAGCGTAGTTTCCGAGGTTCCTTCACGTCGAGGCACGCATCAGTATTTCACCCCCGGCATTGCCAAACGTGTTCCATGGCACGGATACACCTCGTTCCATCTATCCATTCATGACTCAGTGCACATTGGAGTCGTTTCCAAATTTTGGCAATTAGGAATAATGCCACTGTAGAATTATGGGCCCAGCACGCTTCCGCTGCGCTACTCTGCTCACTGTAGAATTATGGAATTTTACAAAGGCGCCGTATGGCTTATTTAGCCTGCTTCTCTGGATTTACAGACATGCTAACGAAGCGTCAGAAACGCTAGGTCAACTGCTTTACGGCTAGGAAAACATTAACTGGAACTCAGCTCCTGTAACAACTGTGTGGTTGCCATTCCCGTCTCCAGCAATAGTTTGCAAGGTTTTAGGGGGAGGCTTAGTGCTGAGCCAGTTGCAGTGGATGCAGTGACAGCTCAGAGCCAGTCTCTGCACCCCCGGCAATGCAGAGTGTCGTGGGATGGTGCCGGTGTCTGACCCTACTCCTCTCTGGGTGACCTGTCTTAGTGCAGAGCACACAGTGAGCAGATAATAAAAATACTGCACAACTGGCACACTGGAAGGGCTGAGCTCATGGGGTATAAACATGTAAGCAACTTGATGTTCTATTTTTTATTTTCCCATTAAACATGCTCATTGTGGTAGTTTTTTTTTTTTTTAATACTTTTAGCTAAAAACCTGGATAAGACCCCAAGAATTTAAAAGCTCTAGAATCTCTTCATGTCACAGAACAGTCTCAGTTCAGTGCATTTTAGAATACCAAACCTACATAAAAGTGAAAGCTCTGGTTCCCATTGGAGCAGAGCCTTCTCCCTCACCTGTGGCCTGCAACGGCCCGAGACGGGCCAGGGTGTGGGAGGTAAAGCACGAGTGGAGCGGAGATGCCGCGACAGGGTGGTCTGGGTCCCCCGGGCTCACGGGTGCTCACAGACTGTTTCGTTCATGGCTGCTTCTACATACGGGCTGTCGTGGCCCGTTTGCAGGACAGAGGATGAACACAGAACATAAAACACAAATGCACAGAACACAAAGAAAAACGCGTACACACAGACAGTTGACTCAAGTAATAATACATTGGGTCCGTTTTATTTTTATACTCTAAAAGATTAAAGTTAGTTCCTTGTACGTAAGTACCCAGGCATTGCAGCAATGGCCATAAATTCCAGAATACGTAGCCTTAGGGAAGCAGACACCCCCTGGCTCAAGGTTTCCAGGTGGTTGCTCTAGGCGCTAGGCATAAAGGACCGAGATTAGCAAGGATGGGCAAGGTGGAGCCACAGGGGGCATTTCTCATCCCCAGCTTCTCTTAGGGTGACCCCCTAAGATCTTTGGCTGAACCCCGGCGGCTGTGCATGGCTTAGGTCGCCCCTCCCTTGAGGGGTCTTACCCGTCATTGACTAACCAGCCATCTTATGGGGTTTATGCAGCAATCACAGGAACAATATGTTTATCGTGTGGCCTCCAGACCCCCAATGCCGTGGGGTGGGGCTGCTCTTGCTAGTTGCGGCTCAGGTCCTTTGTTATGCCTCTAGGCAACACCTTTGTTTATCACAGGGAGCCTGTCCGGAACAGATTACTTTCAAACGCTCTGGGCAGAAAACGTACAGTACTCACTAACTTTAATTCTTAAACTAGAAAAATATATGTCAGCTCCCCACACAGGCTCCTTAGAAATTCTCTCTCCATCGCTGGGTGTCTACAGGGCTCTCAACACGGCTGATTCACACTCTTCTGGCTCATGACCTCCTCCTTCCTCAGCCTCTGGGAATCCGACGACATTTTCAGCTCCTCCCTGCTAACGCCGGATCGTCCCTCCTGGTGGCCCTCTTGGAAAGTTCTGGACATTCCCTTGTGCGGATGGCCCACGTCTGGTTCACTGGAAATTCTCCTGTGTCCACACCCGAGGCAGCCTCCTTTCTACCCACCTGTCAGCAGCAGGGAGCACCCTCACTTCACATTTTATCTTTCCTAAGCCCGTCGGTTCTGTCCCCGCACCACCCTGCCACGTACCTCAGACCACACATACTAGGGCCTTGATGGGTCTCCTCGAAGAAGTTCCTCTCTTGACTTGAGGCGGTGGCAGGAAGCTCCTCCCCGGTGGGGCATGGGCTTTGTCCTGCAGACCTAGAGGAGGGGTTCAAGAATCATGGAATTGCTTTTTATTAAAAAAAAAAAAAATCCTAAAACTTTTTGAGATTTCGCATCTTGGTCTGTTGCCTTACTGTGGAATATCCTGTCTGGTATGTCTTGATCCCTCGAATGTCATTTCAGTTTTAACATCTGGTTACACTCCTCTAAGTTGTCTAGAAGGCAGGGCGACGATATGATAAAATGAACACTGATCGAGGGCAACAATCGCTGTCACGTGTGGAAGTCTGTAGCAGACACCTGGCTACATAGTTCATCAACAGTATAGTTCATCAACTTACCTCTGGCAACAACTCAGTGACATAGCTATTGTGATCTTCCTTTAATAAAGCAGGGAACTGAATCTTCAAAATGTATATCATTTAGTTGGATACTTTCAATAGGAAGAAACAGGTTCCCCAATCGCTTCAACAACGGAAACAAGGACGGTTTTACATAGCAGTAAACCCAGTGATAGGGCAGCTCCAGCGTGAGTTAGTATTTAAGCCTGTCCTAGTGCTAAGAGAAACCAACTGCTGAGCCGTGCGAAGACACGGAGGAAACTCAAGTGCATATGGCCAAGAGAAGCCAGCTATGAAATCTACATGCTGTGAAGTTCCAGCCATGTGACAATCTGGGGAAGGCAAAACCATGGAGAGAGTAAAAAGACCGGGTGGTTGCCAGAGGTCAGGGAGGTTGAATGGGCGGTGCACAGAGGATCTTTTGGACAGAGGAGCCATTCTGTACAGTGGCGGATCCAGGTCCTTATACGTGTGTCAAAACCCACAGAAAGTGAAACGTGAAGAGTGTAAGCCCTGACATAAACAATGCACTTTGACTGACAATGATGTGTCAGTGCAGGTTCACTGAGCACAGTAATTGTACTTCTGGGGTGGCTCATGCTGACACTGAGGGAGGTCACGCCTGTGAGAGGGAGGGGCACACGGGGACTCTGCACTTGATTTTGCTGTGAACCTGAAGGCCGCTGCTGCCTAAGTTGCACACGTGTGAAATTGCCTGTCCGTGGAGCTCAGTGAAGTATTGTATTGTCTCCCTTTCCTTGGAAGATGCTACTATCAGGTTTCTTAGAAAATGCTTTCTCCCTTCCTAACTGAACTATTCTTAGATATAAAGTGTGTCTTCTTGCTTTGGATAATATAATAATAATAATAATTCATATATAGCTTATGTAAACTCTTCCCTTGGCTCATCAGAAAACAGAACAGAGTTGTGGTATCAGTATCTATGATACAGTGGCAAATATTTTTAAAAAAAACTAATCTGAATAGAAGGCAGATTTAGTGACTACTTAGAGTCTAATATTTTAGCTATAATCAACCTTCACTGGAAAAGTAAGTAAATCAGCAGAGCCAGAAAGAGGATGTCTGTCCTGGTGGGTACAAATGCTCAGGGTCCCCCCTGTTTACCAGCTAAAGATGTGACCAAAGGCACCTGCTTCTCCACTGGACCTGAAGAAACTCGCTGGATTTATTATGCACATGATTCTTTCCAGGAGAGGTGATTATGAGCCTAAAACTCTACTCTACTCGGCTGAATTCTGGTAGTAGGAATGACTGAGGTGGTTAAAATGTACACGCCTGCAATCCCAGCACTCTGGGAGGCTGAGGCGGGAGGATCCCTTGAGCCCAGGAATTTGAGGTTGCTGTGAGCTATGATGTCGACACTGCACTCCAGCCAGGGCAACAGAGTGAGACTTTGTCTCAAATAAATAAATTAATAAATAATAACGCTATACAATTTTATCAAGAACTCAAAAAACGGCATTCACCAAAAGTAATTTACTAATGAACAATTAACTACATAGGAAACTGTGTGTTGAGAAACCCCCAATTACTGCAAGAGTGATTGAAAGATATTCACACCGGAGTATGGATGCCATTCAGTCCTTGCCACTGGATGAAATCTCACCTTCTTTTGTAAAAGAAAAAGTAAAATTTAGAGACTTTAAGAATCCAAAAATGTGTACTGATTCTCAGAAAGTGGGCAAGAAATTTTAACAGGAGCCGACCCAGGCCCTCAGTGTGAATCCTGTGCTTCAATTTTTGCCAACATAATGTATATGGTGATTAGATAGGTCTAACAATCACATTATATAGATGACGAATGGCATAAGAAATGTACAAAGAGAAACTGCAACAGGAGGGACCTATTTCATACTAGAAGGTGCAGGAATGCCTGGCTGAAACTCCCAGGGTGACTCCCCTAGCAGGGAAGGAAGCAAGGCAGTCTCCACGTCCCGCATGTCTCTCTGGCACCACGGCTGCTGCTTAACATGTACACGGGCAGGAAACCACAAAGTCAGGAAAAGGACAAGGCACTCAGATCAGGAAGCGTCCCTATCTGGGACTGAATCTGAGGAAGACCCACACCCCAAGGACGGGCCACGGTGCACACAGTGAGGCTGGCACGGACGCTGGGGATCCTTCAGCAGCGAGTTCGTGGTCTCCACCCTCACCAGGAAGCCCTCGTCCAAATGCCATCAAGAGAGGGAGGAAATAAGCGTTTTTTTTGTTTTGTTTTGTTTTTTGACACTCTACCGCATGCTAAGCATCTTTTCTACTGTATTGGTGCTCACTGTTCCCTTCTCACACGTGCGTGGAGTCAGGCTCACAGAAGTTAGATAGCTCAGCCAAGGTCACGTGCCCTGGCAGAACTCGGATGACAATCCATCTCTGTCTGACAATAAAGTCCCTCTGACTGGTAGTTCAGAGCCAAGCAGATTCAGAGCAAGAAGGAAAACAGGAGTTCCCAAAAGACTATGGCTTTCCAGTAAACTCCTGTCTTTGAAATAAGCATTGGATGGAGACCAGCCTGAGCGTTTATTTCAGGAGTTTTCAGGTATATCTGACTAGACTCGTATAGGTGTGCTTAAAAGAGATGCCGGGCCCCAGGCCTAGGGAATCTGATTCGGCGAGTCGGGGGCGTGGCGTGGCGTGGCCTGGCGGTGTGTGCGTATGTATTGTGCACACAGATGCACACATGCACACGCATGCATGTATGTACACACAGAGATTTTTAAACTAGGTTCCCAGGTCATCCTAAAGCTCAGTCTGTTCCATTAATTTGGCTGTTTTTAAGCCTGAGCATAAGTACAGTTGGAAAGCAGGTCAACATCGCTAGAAAAAGCACAGAAATAGAAGAAAAGAACATATTTTAACATTTTATGGGTAAATAAAATGATTATTATTTCACACCATAGAACTCATTTGCTCAAAAGTTCCATGCTTATCAGACTTAGCGATAGCATTTCTGAGAATCTCCATGCTGAGAAAGACCGCCCTGGCTACCACGTCTCAGTTCTCTTGCCTTCCTGGCAGACCTGTCACTATAAATTAGTTTCGTTATGAATTTTATTCTGGGGACTTTACTCCCTTACAACTTTATTACCCTTGAATTATATAGCTGAGGATCAGATGGTCACCACTATATGAAGTGGGTGGATATACAGGCATCATTAAAACCCTCCTGGTCCACACCCAGGCCATGAAATAAGAACAGGAAGCTACGTAAGAGCAAACTACCAGAACTCTTGAAAATAAAATACCTGATTGCAAAAATGAGGGACTCTTATAGAAGAAGTAAAACATAAAGTTGAGGAAATTTCACAGAGGATGGAAAAAACGGAGTGAAAAAACAGGGCAGGAAAAAATGAAAAATTAGAAAATCAATGCAGGATGTTCATTATCTAACCAATAGGAGTTTCATAAATAGAATGGAGAAAATGGACAGAAGGAAATTTATCAAAGAAATAATTCAAGACAATTTTCTAGAAAGGAAGAACATGCCTTTTTAAATTTAAACGACTCAAGAAATCTAAGCACAATGAATTACAACACAAACAACATCTGTCACATTATTATGCAAAGTCACAGGGGATAAAGACCTTACAAGAATTCAGAAGAATAAAAACAGGTTAAAAACAAAGGCTATTAATCAGAAGAGTAGTGACTCCTCCAAAGCCAGAAAACACCACCTTAAACATTCTGCAGTCGATTATGTCCAATCTAGAACTCCACACATGGCCCAAGCTGTCAGTCAAGTGTAATGATAGAATAAAGGCCATTCCATTCAGGTATAAGGCGTAAAAATGCGTATTCCATGAACACTTTCTGTGGAAGGCCCTGGAAAACATACTCCCATACAATAAGAAAACTAAAAAGAAAGAGGCAGACATGGGATTTAACAAAACGGGAACACCCAGTGGCTGTACTGCAGGACTGGAGCAAAACTGCTCCAGACAGAGCACTTGCCCAGACCTTGATGTGGCTTTTTAATGTAAATAGACATTGGTTAGGAAAAAGTCCCTTGGAAGTACAGTTTTTGTTTTTGTTTTTTTTTTAAGTTTCAAATAACAAGCATCATAAAAAGAAAAAAAAATTTAAATCAATGAAGGCTGCTACTAATTTCTGGGAAAAAAATGATTTCTGGGGGAAAAAAAACACCCAAAAAGTGTGCCAAGAATGGAAATGTAATCAGAAGATTGATGTAACTCAGTGCTCATTAATAGTTTTAGTGACTAATTGTGTCTAATTCCTACTGCACAAATGGCCGGTGGAATTAAACTAAAACCCAACTTTCACAATCACTGCCTCAAAGAAATAACACGTGTTGAATTGTTTTGGAATGCAAAGATGGTTCTTGGGACTTCAATACACAGTAAGTTGCATTCACACATCCACCACAAAAAGGAGAGAAAAAAAAAAACAAAAAACGAAACTATGATGGAATTGAAACTAGAAAAAAAATTAGCTTTCTATAGAAAACATAAAATCTTATGATTATATTTTAATGTGTTCGGGGGGAGAGGTTTTGTAACCTGAAAATTTTCCCTTTTTTCTTCTGTTTAAACTATATCAAATCATTCTAACTATAGTGTTATTTAATATGTAAATTGCGTCGCTATACATATAGTTTTTGATGTTAAAAAATTGTTTTAGATCATGTTCGCCCACTGGGGATTTGCCTGTAGCTGTGGT